GCTAATGAGAAAACTTTTTAAATGACTTGGGCCTGTGATCCCACCAATGAAACAGATTTAAACGAACGTACACAGTTTATCAGTTGAGATAATGAAATCAACTGATAAAGAAACCGTGATAAAATTATCAAAATTTATCTCTTTATGTTTTGAGAAGAGATCTAAATGCCTTGAAGCTCGGAATGCTGACAGTCAATAGGCTATCGAAATAACTCCCAAACTTCTTCAATTACGTACTGATATATACTGTAAATAGAGTATTCATTTGTAAACTAGGTCTTTCTTAATATCAAAACTTCATTTTTATTTCTTGTATTACTCACAGTGTCATATTACCACAAAACATTTTGCATTTGTAACTATTTATTTTTAACTAATAAACTTTAGGGGCGGACCATTTGATTTTTTTTTTGGGGGGGGGTACGGTTGGAAGATTTCGAAAAAAAGTTTTCCTGCAATCCAAGGAGAAAGAAAAAAAATCATGCAGCATACAATCGAGAAAAGAAAATATCATGCAAAAGAGAGCGCTCAAAAAAAAATCCTGCATGTAAATTTACCGACGTTCTTCACTTCAGTATTGTGTCCACTAACCCATTCGCAGGCTAAAACCCATAGAGAGGCCTGCGGAGGAGGCTATGTGTCCACAGGCTCGCAAGATTTTGCATTTTTGAGCAGGCACATTTGCTTAAAGTGGAAGTCAAGTCCGTAATGTAAACAAACGGTTTGTTCACATTTTGGACTGCTGTGTTTTTTAAAATATGATGCACTGTCTAAATATCTAACAACGTTTTGGTTCGCTATGCTTCTAAATGAATATGAAATAGAGTTTATGTTCAGAAAAATTCGAAACATTCGAAATTTAGGCAATTTTTACATTGAGATGGCCCTCGCATTGTTATGAGCAGAACCGATGCGCAGAGCGGACTTGACTTCCACTTAACACGTGTGAGCAGTGGACAACATTACAGGGATTCAGTACCGCCTTTGGAGCGTGACGTTCCCTGGCAAAATTGTTGCCCCCCTGAGAAAATCTGGGCTTAAAGATGCGGTGCAAGTCCGTATGTAAACAAAGGCTTTGTTTACATTTCGGTATCCAAAATCATTGAATTTTATTCGACAACTATTAATATTTTCATGATTCTATAGTATAATAAATTATCAAGAGACAACAATCAAGCTTTGCAAGAACATAAAATGAAATAAAAACCTAAATAAACTGTTTGTAAATAAATAAAAAGAGGGCTCCTTTGTGCACATGCGCAGATCAGACTGTACCGCATCTTTAAGATATGTACAAGTTTATAAGTACATATCTAATATGCATTGCATGGTAGAAAAAGTATATTAGGATGGTTGAGTCTGTGTGCGTTTTTTGATAATATAGCTCCAAACTATTAAAAGCTTCAAAGGCCCATCTACAGGATACAAGTTGAACCCACTGTATATACGATGATTTTAATCAGGGACGCCGGAACTGGGGGGGCAGGAAGGGCAGCCGCCCCCGTTGCCCTTTACCAGGAGGGGCAAGGGGGGCAAAGGTGCCCTTTCAATTTAAAAGATTACCTTAGCGAAATAGTGAATTGTCAGAAATGTTAGTGCAATTCTTTTACGAATTTGCTTCAGAAAACGCAAGAAATGCAGTCATCGAGCTTCAAGAATAGCACAATCGCCTGGCGGAGAACCCTCTCTCACCCCTATCATCGAATAAATAGAAAACATGATTAGGCGAATTTCAACTCCCGATGTTTTGCAAACATCTCTTAGTATATATAAATTCAAAAGTGCTCTTTCACGAAAATCTGCCCCCTTGCCTTCACATCGTTCCGGCGTCCCTGATTTTAGTGCGAAAATGCCAGTTTAGAGAGTCTAGATTTTAAAAAAATTCTGAAGAGGATGCAACCCGATCCCCAACAAACTATTTGTATGAACGATTGAAAAGCTACAGAGCTATATTTGGTGGAACATTGTTGTTGATCAAAGCTCATTTTGTAATTTTCCCTTGTTTAAAATGAAGGACAGTAAGTGTTCCTTAGGCTTAGTACAGCAAAGTTGTTGGACGAATCCATGGCTGAAAACGCAGGAAATAGCATTTCCGAGGTTCAAATTTTAAAATTTTCTCGGGGGAGCATGCCCCCGAACCCCCCAAGGTTACAGGTCATTCATATACTGTACCTCCCCCATTTTCGAGTACTCTACTCTATCCCTGCATGTTTTAGGTTTTGGTGCAGTTATACATTTTTTGTAAGTAAACCTGCACGCTTTAGTGTGGGGGCATTAAGACATAACCATATAAAATAAAGCACAGTGAAAATTCCTTGGCCCCTCTTGGAATTCAGTTCTCGGCCTCCTCTGACTGAAAACCCCTGCTACGTCTCTGACGATAGCTATATGAAAGCACAAAAAAGTATTCTGCCGCGAAATATATTGGGAGAAAATATCTTGCGCTGCACTTTTACAGCAAAAAATATCTGTCTTGTTCACCTGCGCGGAAAATTTTTTTTTGCACAGTCTGAATCTTCCAACCCCC